AGACATGCTCTCTCTTCTTGAAGAGTTTTATCACATATTCAGTAACTAGCTTAAAAGCTGCCCTATCAGATGGCAATTAAGCTAGCTCCTGCAAAGGGCTCTTGATTGGGCCTTCAGCTTGTTCAGGAGTTTGGGAGTTCCTAAGTCTTTGCATATTCTTAGCATTAGATGCTCTCCTGGTTGCCGTTTGATCTGGGTTTTCATTTAAATGGGACTTCCTTTTCTTCATTGCAGCCTTGGCTCTTTTGATTACAATGACGTCCTCTGTTGGTGGAGATTTCTTTTTGTGGAGCATACTGCTGCTGTATGTGACAGGCAACAACTGACTACAGAAGAACTCAAAATTGATCACTGCATTTAAGTACTGCATTAATATCTAAGATTACTTTTTAAAAGCTCAACAATAATTCTTCTGACACCAATTAATGTAAAGACAATTTGATGTATCTAGGTCCTTACTTTCTGTACAAACAATTATTTTTATTTCATGGATGACTTTCACTGGATTTTGCAATTAATTTTGATTATTCCCAAATTTATTTCCAAGTTATAAAAATTGTTATCATAAAAAAAATTTGTCGCAAAAATTCATGTAAAAATTATCGCCAAAAACATTCACAGTAATGAAAACTTGGGAATCCAAAATTTCAGATTTGTAGGTTCAGATCTGACCTGGAATGTTTTAATTTGCTTACAGAGTTGGCCTGATTCCAAAATGGTATGATATTTTAGGCTACGGCCTCTACAAGTAAATTTGAAAATATGTGACACACTGACATTTGTATTTATTATACAGATTAAAATAATGTAATTAACCAATTATTGAATGAAGTTTCTTTAAAACTTTAGCTCTTTTTGCTTAATCTAGCATGATGGCTAATGGTAATCTTAGGGCTGACAGATTTAAAATTTTACTTAACTTCCTGTCTATAATATTGGACAGCATACAGAAAATAGTGAAATAGTTTCAGTATCCTCAATTAGTTGGAGTTCATTAAACCAAAGACGCTATGATACTTACTGATTATTGAGTCTAGAAGGTTGTTCCCAAATCTTTGATCTGTTGTGTATATATATATATATATATATATATATATATATATATATATATATATATATATATATATATATATATATATATATATACACACGGAGGCACGGTGGAGTAATGGATAGCGGCTTGGACTGAGGAATCATAGAGCTGAGTTCGAATTCCAGTCGAATCCATTACATTCACTTACGTGCTAATACCCTTAGGGAAAGGTATGAATCCTCTTCATCTCCCTCCAGCTATGGGTAAAATAGCAGGACAGACTGGGTTCTATAGCCTTGGATGGCAACTGGTCTAGGAGAAGGACAACTCTGAATTCAAAACCTGCGGGAGGGTCGTTTGGGAACCTTGTGGCATTCGGTGCACCGGGTTTCTGTATTCGTCCCTCAAAAAAGTGTGGCTGGTCCTGCACGAGGCCTTCACCACTATAATCAAATCTCATGTGCGGTGTCGGGATGTCGGGTTTCCTGGAGACTTATCGGCCTGACCCTCATACGTCGAACAATCACGGGAGAGAGTTATATATATATATATATATATATATATATATATATATATATATATATATATATATATATATATACGTATATGTTTTTATAAATAAGTCAACATATTTTAGGTTTAAATAGGAAGTTAGGCATAGTCACTGAATACAGTTTACACAAAAGGTCATTCACAAACCTTCCTACACCATAATTTTAGCAAACAACTAACCCAAAACTACTAGATTTCATCAGTAAATACACATTCACACAAAAAATATCTTCCAAAACATCAAAATTCATTTTAATTCTTATTAAGAATGAACAAAAGTGAGTCTGAAAATTTCAACTATTAAAATCTTTTCTCATAATTTTATTTGGTCTAAAGGAATAGTAATATACAGTATTATTATTATTATATTATTATTATTTTTGTTGCTTTTTTATTACTTGAACTTTTTCAGTGCCCTGCTATATATATATATATATATATATATATATATATTTATATAAATTATTTTCAGATAGTGTATCTGTGAAGGAACAAAATGAACAAAAAGATAAGAGGAAAAACCATACGGGGTATATGCACATCAGTGAATATAAAATAATTGACCGGAATTTGAACTTGGCTCTCTGATTTCTCAGTCCAACTCACAAACCATTACTCTACCGTATACACGTATATGGGAGTATGTGTGTGTATAAGCAGCAAAAATTCATTTAAACAAGTTATACCAAATTCAACGAAATAAGATGTTGCACATCCTTATGAAAATTTTGCATTTCAAACAGCATCACTGTAATGAAGATAAAGTTACATAAAGACAATAACTAATATGATATCTATGTGTTATGATCTGAAATTAATTTTAGAAGTTATTCATCTGCTTTTTTTGTGAGCTATTGCATTTCTTTTTCTAAATATTTTAGCTTGATGAAGACAGATCTTTTATAAGTCTTCTAGAATGTTGAGATTAAGTCCTCAATTTTCCTTTGCCAGTTGTGCATCAGAGTTGAACTGAATCTTCAATGAACTTCTTCATAGTTTGGCCTATTTCATGATTATTTCTGCAATTTTAATTTGTCTTAACTTCAACAAACTGAAGTTAATAAATATTTGTGTAGCCATCAAATTAGCCTTATGACCCACTTTAAAGTTTCACAACATTGCTATTAATCTGAAACTTAGAAATTCTGAACATTTTATTCAAAAGGTTGTCATTTGTTAACATCTGCACAGAATGAAAAAAAAATGATCCTAATTGCATTGATAGATGTTGCCATTATTCACCAAATAAAACTTGATATTGCAGTAAGTAATTTTTTATATACCAATGAAATATAAAAGTGGCTCATAGAGATACAGTATAGATTTATATCCACTTAAACTCATATATATATATATGAAATATATGAATATATATATATATATATATATATATATATATATATATATATATATATATATATATATATATATATATATATATATATATATATATATATATAAAAAGACTTAGTCAATACTAAACAAAACAATAAGCTAAAACTTGAAGGAGGAATTTACTCGATGGCCTGTAATAATTGTCACAAAAAATACATAGGAGAAACCTCAAGGAATCTAAATAAAAGATGATATGAGTACAAAAGAGATATGTTATAAAACAATACTATTGGGATTTTCCCAATTATATTTGGTAACAAAAATATTGTGACGCTGGCAAGATAAAAAGGAACACAAACACAGTTGAAAATGTTTGAAAAAACTTGTATTGTAGGAAAAGAGTAGAAAGTTTAATTGCAAACAGTCAGGTCTGCAGAACTTATCTGAAAGATGCGTCCTTTTAACAGTTTTATATTTCCTGTTTTCATTTTGGCTGGGTTGAAGAAAATAGAGTCTTGACTTCTGTGCTTCAGTTGCTGTCTAAATCCACACACATGTCATGGTGTTTAGATGACGGAGTGCAGACAGGGAACGTGTTGTCTCTGAGGGTCCCCACAAGCAACGTATTTTAAGTATTTTAATAAAAATAGATTTAAAATTATTCCTATCTTTCCCTTCCTTTTCTAATTTTAACCATATCTGTCATCCTCCTCCTCTACCACTCTCTATCACCTTACATCAATTTAAAACTACCCATCAAAAGTCTTTAAAAATTATACATAAATTTAAAACCATTTTTTATGATTGGAAATGTGATCTAAAGAACCAGGAAAAAAAACACCTTCTTGGGGGAAATAAAATATAATCAATGGGCCTTTAAGGTTATCTGTTTTCTAATTTTAATCAAATTAATTCATATATATATATATATATATATATATATATATATATATATATATATATATATAAGAAAATATAAAATTGCACTTTTAAAATATGTATCAGCTATCTATAAATCTTGTGTGCTTTGTCAACAAGATATGCAGTACTGACTGCACCAAATGCACTTCACAATTGGATTTTATTTTTTTATAAATTTATCTAAGTGCAGCAGCTGGTTGCAAGAATAACAGATTTTGTGCATCATTCATTTGCACCTGCATACTGCACGTTTCTGCTTTTCTCTAAGAAGCCTTTTACTATGGTTACCAACCTAATCTGCTTTAAATAATATTCACTACCATAAAATAAGAGTTTCTGTAAATTTTATAGGCATAAAAATGTATTCAGACTCTCCTTAAATAGTTTCTTCATCAACATTTTTAATATTCCTTGCTATATTCATCAGCTATGAAAGAAAATATATAATATAATTTTGAGATTTGTCTCCATACAAAATTTGCATTAAATAACCCAAGACAGTTTGACATTGCCTAAAACTAACCGACCTTATTGACATATATTTACTGTTTTCTTAACAGCAATAAAATACATAAGATATATTAGACAGGATGTTTTATTATAATTAGTTAATTTATTAACTAATGACATGAAGTGGAAAAATTATATTGAACCAACTGCTGAGTCTGCTACTCTGTAAACTAGTACTGTAATATTAAATGTAGTCGGTCAAATGTCTCATCTTTGGAAAGACGAATTAGCTTTCAGATTTTATAGTCAAGTCTCTTCTACCTCTATTTAGGTCATTTGTGGGAGGATAAATCAAACAGAAAAAGAAAGTATATAATTTGCTTTTTCACATACAGACTGATCAAGAAACAACATTTTAAACTTTCCTTCTAGTTAGATTCTTAACATAATTTAAAATATGGATAAATTGATTTGTTTTTTTTTTTACAGTTTATCAACCTTTTGCAGATTATTTAAAGACAGAAAATTATTAGATTGTAAGGATATTTTGAAGATAATGAAATACTGATAAAAGTCCTATCAACTTATAACTGGGAGGAGAAGACATCAGGGTGTTTGAATATAATGAACCTGATTGGAATTGGAACTTGGCTCTCTAATTTCCAATTATGAACTGTTATTCATTATATCATTCACACATCAAGTTTATAGTACCTGGTTTTCCTGAGTTGTCATCCATCTAAGTACTGACCAGGCTCGACATTGCTTAACTTCGGTAATCATACAGGAATCAGTGTTTTAATGTGATATGGCCATAAGCCAAAATACACATGAAGAATCCCTCTCTTTAAAAGAATTGACACAATACCAAACTGACCAGTGAGAGCAAGTACCTTAACTGATAGAAATTTCTTATCTCAGATTGAATTGCTAGTAAGTATTCCAGTAGTTCACTCTGCTATTGCCATTGGTACCATAAAATCCAGTGCTATCTACCTATATAGGTCAACAAGTTCCCCTACCAGGCTTTTCTAGTGAGGAGGATGGTTAGACAGTCGACAATAATAAAAACAAGACCTGTCAAAAGGTTGCAAACTTTTTTATAGGGTCAACAGTCATCTAGCATAATGAGGTAGACTGGACTGTGTATGCAGCCAATGTGTTCATGGCATGGTATCACTGGATGAAGGACTGAATTCAATGGCCAGGACAGAGGGTTACCTTTTGATGCAACCAATGACCAAATGTCCATGACTAAGGTGAGCCTTCAAGTTGCATGACATCCACTGTGGTTTGACCTAGCCAATTTTCCCAAGACACACTATACATGAATGAATACCCATCTGCTTTCAACCTAGATATGTAGAATGAACTGATGAGGTGCTTAGCTGTTTAGTTACCCTGGTCATGGTCATGTGATTGATGATAATGATACCACAGGTTATATTTCTTGAAAAAGTACTGAATATAATATAGCAAGTGTGTGCGTTTTAATAAACATGTTAAACATAGTTCCATAATTTGACATACTGCTGTAAATATGATACTCTCAACAAGGTATCAGCCATATTTAAACTTTCACAAGAACAAAGACTAAAAAAAACAGCTAAAAGGTATTGCTATTTTTTTTTAGCCAATCTTTGCCAAAGAGTAATGTGGTGATTTTGGCTTACTTTTCCTTTGTATACTTTGTCAAGTCATTCATTTTCTGTCTGCTTGAAATACCTTGAATTGCAACTACAACTCAAGGTGATGCTGACCAGGTGCTATGAAAAGAAATTAACATCAACAAACTCAGAATCTCTGCTGCCTGCCTATGGCGACAGACAGGCCAACCAATGGCAGCCATACCCTTCCACTTTGCCTATAAACACATTTCAGATTTTAATGCCTGTGCACAAAAGATGGAAACCTAAACATTAATAGTCAAACATATTCACCCAACCTTGTTTGACTGGAGGCAAATTTTACATAGTTAATCTATTATAAAAGAAACATACACTTAATCTATCTTAGATATTTTATCTAAACACCATCCTACTACTACTTTGAAATGATAAGAATGTGATAGAGCTATGAACAGAAGGTTGTGATTTATGAGAAAAAGATTTAAATAATGAAAAGATGGCTTGAGCATTGCCAAACATAAGTTTCTGGATATGAGTTGAACACTTTTCAGAAGCTTCTTTTTATTGATGATATGTGTAACTTATTTTAGTAGCCAAAGAAAGTATCAAACCAATTGCTGCAATAAAAATAAAAATATTAATAAACTAGCAGTAACACCGGACAATTTCCTCACAGATGAAGATGATAGTTGAGGTAACAGAAATGTAGTTCTCCAGAAGAATGTTGAGGATGTCTTAAGGAAAATGGAAACAAAAAGCAAACTTATGCTTAGAATCAGAAAGAGACAATTAAAATTTCTTAGATACATAATGATAAAAGAGGACTTAGAGCATTTTACACTCACGGGACATAATGAAGGCAAGGAGGGACAGAGAGAAACAATGAGTAATGTACCTAACAAGTTTCTGTAAATTGATAGAAGAACAGGGGTTGGGAAGGAGAGTAAGGAGACAAACATTACCTAGAGCAATATAGTAAGTTGTGAAGACACATGTTCACCCACGTCCTGAAGAGGTATAGCTCATAAAGAAAGAAGAATTGTGAACATTTTTTTTTTTTTTTTTTTTTTTTTAAGCATTTCACCCCAAGCAAGGCGGGAAGCCACTAGGACGCAAGGGGTTACAGAAAATAGGAAGATCAGATAGGAGTGATAGAAGAAAGGATGAGGGTAGTAGATAGATTAAGGCAACTGGAGATGTCGATTGACATTACACTTGAATAGCTGGAGATTATAACTCACAGGGAAACAGGAGAAGGGAAGAGAGTTCCACAGGCGAGAGGTGCGAGACATGAAGCTATTAGAGTAGAAGAGACGGCTACATTTAGGAGTTTCGACAGTGAAGGGGTGAGAGCGGGATGCCAGCCTCGTAGGGCGCTTGAACTCATGAAGTCTGGGAACCAGTGAATGCAGCTCCTCGGAGCAATTTCCATGAAAGTATTTGTAGAACAGACAGAGGGAGGCGACAGTGCGTCTGTGAGAAAGTGACTGTAGACGAGACACCAGGGCAGGGCCAACCATATTGCATATCCGCTTCTGGAGCCTATCAAGAACCCCGAGGCAAACAGAAAGAATTAGAGTCCTGTGGGGCTGGGGCACTTTCACAGCATTAATACCATGGAGTTTTTAAACAAACAATATGAGATATTAAGGATATATCATTTATTTCTCAATTTTCTTGTTATGTATTGTCTTGAGTGTTCTTTCTGGTTTTTATAGGATAAATAAAAATGGCAAAAAGAAAAGGTTTTATCTTGAAAAATCAAATTAAGAGGTTAATAATAAAAAAATGAAATTATAAGTGTTCAACTTCTGAAATTGTCAGCACAGGTTCCAGAGGTAAATCATTTTATGGAGTCAACAGCTATTTAGCATAATGAGGTAGACTGGACTGTATAGCCGTTAATGCAGTCAGTGTGGTAATGATATAGTATCACTGGGTGGAGGGGTGAAGTCAATGGCCAAAGCAGAGGGTTGCTTTGATGTAAGCAATGACCAAATAGCTCTAACCAAAGCAAGTCTTCAAGTTGCATGACATCTGCTTTAGTTTGACACAGTCTACTTGCTCAAACACACTATGGATGAATGCTCTCAACCCAGATATGTGTAATGAACTGGTCAGATTTTATCTAGAAAAATCAAATTAAAAGATTAATATTAAAAGACATTATTGCCATATTCACATGTGAATATGGCAATAAAGATGAGGACAACAGTTTGAATAATGTAAATAATTACAATACCACTTTTCAGAAAAATAGACAAATAATATAATTTTCCTTGTTTTGGTCTAACTTCAGATTTCCTCATTATTCATATAGTCTGCCCAAGAAGCCATTTCTGATTTAGGTAACTGATTGGAGAGCATACTGACACAGAATGTTATTATAAAAAGCAATAGTAATATACTAATATAATAATAGATGAGAATAGGTAATAATATATATTAATTAAAGTAATACATAATCTATTTACCTATGTAGCTATTTATGACATTCACCATATTTGGGACCATAGTGTTATTGTCAACATCATCATCTTGTAAATGGCTGCATTGGATGTACTTTATCAGGGCTACATACTGTTTTCAATTCAAAGTTTTCTATTTACACTATTTACATTGTTGAGACTATTGTCCTCATCTTTAGTGTCATATTCATGATGTTTCAGCCATTGTACGCTCCAGCCTTCATCAGGTGATATACGTTGGAATTTCAAACTGAATCCTTTATTTCATCCACTGGGATAGATTGTTCTAGTTCCACATGCCATGAATTTTATGGATAACTCAATTTCAGTTATTTCCCTTAAGTAACTCAACTCAAGTTTTTGTTCAATTCTGCTGTGGCCAGGTACTAAATTCATGTAACTGAATTACTTTAGCCAATGCTTTTATTCCCTGGGCTAGATGTTCAAAGTTTTTCTTCTCCTAGACTGGTTACCAACCACAGCTAGAGAGCCAAATCTGTCTAGTTATTTAACCCATAGCTAGTGGGAGAAGTAGATGGATTCATAACTTTAACAAGGATATTTGTGCAAAAGTGAATATAACAAACTCAACACAAATTGCAATTCAGATTTACCGATTTCTTGTTCTGAGTTACTAACCATTACACCATAACTTAATAATAAATAATATATAGTACTGACAGTTATATAATAATATATAATAAACAATGTGCTTCATATCTTTCTTTTAAGAAATCAACTTAGCTACACTAACCTATTTAGCAAAAGTAATGATATATAACATGCCATTTTCAGCATTAGAAATTTGACCGATTTTTTATCACTTCTATATTCTGTATTCCTTCTTCTGCCAAGATGGAAGTGACTATCAACTTTTTCTGGATTTTATGAATAAGCAGAAGATTATTTAGTGTTTTCATTGATATCTTCTGAAAGAAATCTCTAATAATCTTCATGAAAAAGTATTGGCTTGAAAACTAATAAGAAAAATCTTTTGACATTTCTTTGTATCAAATTTCTCTTTTACAAATGCATATCCTAAAAAGGAATTAATAACTTGTTTTGTAACATGACAAGAATATTACTGAAATATGTCATAATCCTTTTCATACTGTGTGTGTGTGTATGCATTATTTTCCTTTATCTCACACACACATTATATTTACACACACACACATATATATATATATGCTTGTACGAATGCAAGAAGATGGCTTTCACAAATGCAAGAAAAAAGAGTGATTGTTGCACACACACACATATATCTATATATGTAATAAAATATAGTTTTAAGTTATGTTATATTTTGGTGTTAAAGTGTTCAATATCAGGGATAGAGTGTATGTAAATATAAAAGTGTACATTGAAGTCAACACCCAGAAATGGTAAAATATCTGCTATCTTTTGTTTATATGGCAATGCCATCATTTTTTTCTATTGGTTAACAAATATGTCTTGGATATTTTTTAAATCTTCATAAAAATATTTTTTTAAAATGCCTGAAAATCAAGTCTCTATCTAATAATTTATATCAATATTTATTTCAGACAGCTTTTTTTAGTGTAATGCAATGATAAAATTCATTTATAAAATATCAGAACTTGAGTTTTCATTTCATCTTTTTGGATGGATGGGGGGGACAAAGATTATGTACTGCATCTTTTATTAAGAAATGACTTACTTCGGCAAATAATATTAACTAAAATCAATCTTGCTGGACAC